TCTGGAGGTGAGTCCTTCTGACTCTTACAAGACAAGTGAAAGTTAGGCAAGAAAATCGGGAAAGGGTTTTTCAGACAGAAAAGTCTGAGCACAGAACTGTTGGAAAACCTCACATGTTCAGGGTAGTTGTTAGTTACGGCTGGGAAAAGGCTAAGTGGGCTGGAACCCTGGGAAACACCTACATGTAAGGAAGAGAAGTAAGAAGGAACAACTGCAGAGGTAGGAAAACAAGGATAGTAGTATCTAGAAGGCCAAGGGGATCTGTTTCTGTAAGTGTGGAGTGATGGAAAGAGCCTGGGCCTCAGACAGGCCTGGGTTCTAGTCTAGCTCTGTCACTTACAGAGCTAGCTACAAAATGAGTTTGTTTACTCATTTGTAAAATGAAGGTAATATCTAGTTCACAGAGATGTTTTGAGGTAAATGAGATAATAATTGTAAAGAACAGTAACTAAATAGTGGTACAGCTCTTTTAGAATTTGTTTAGCAGGTTTTCTGGTCCGCACTGGAACATCCCCCCACACCCAGAAAAAGAATAGCAACTGACTGATTTATAACTGGAATTATAAAGAGGCAGTGTTCGAGAGTGAAATGTTATAGGAAGGTGCGTTCACCTACGAACTGACATATGCACTTAATTAAAAAACAAAGAGGTCATTGTGACCTCTGTGAAGGCAATTCTGGTCATGGGATAGGGAGGACAGTCACCTTGCCCCAGCAGAATGAGAAAACGGCAAGAGTAAGCAAAAATTACTTTCAAAAAATAGGACATTGAAAGGAAGGAGAGAAATAGGACATAAGATAGGAGGGGGTAATGTAGAGGACAGGTATGTCTGTAAGTTCAATTACTATCTTTATGCTGATGACTTCCTTATTTTTCAGCCCAGATACCTCAAGAGTGCCAGATCTATATTTCCTTCTGGCTATCTGGTTTCTGGATACCTTACAAAAGCCTTTCAAACCCAACATGTCAAAACTGAACTCAGAGAATTCCACCATCGTCCTTTGAAACAGGCTCTTGGTATGTGTAGAGTGAGCATTCTTGATTTTGACAACTCTTGAGTGACTCTAGAAATCAGTGACTAGTGTCTGCCAATTGCTGGCACACACTTCTGAACCAATATGCGTGAGGCTCAGTTAGTGGCTGCGGCCAGTTAGGTTCCAAATTCCAAATATATAACAGCTAGCTGAAAAATATCACCCAGCTGTTATATATTCCTGGATGTGTATTAGAGTAGCACTCCCAGCTGATATTTTTCTGTCAAAAATGGACTTATAATTCAAAAAGCCAATCCTGCTGCAGTTGACCCTTGAACAACACAAGTTTGAACTGCGCAGGTCCACTTATACTGATACATGGATTTTTTTTTTTTTCAATAAATAGGTTGAATCTGCAGTTGGCTGAATCTGCGATGCGGCCTTGTGAATACAGAGGACTGACTGTAAAGTTATACTCAGATTTTCGACTGCACTGGGGGTAGGAGCCCTTAACCCCGGCATTGTTCAAGGGGCAATGGAACTCTTAATGAAACTGAAAAAAAAAGTCTGCGAAAGTAATGATTCTTAGACAGAAAATAAAAATGGTTAATTTTATGTGACAACTTGACTGGGCCACCGAGTACCCAGATATTTGGCCAAACATTACTCTCGTGTTTCTGTAAAGGCGTTTTTGGATGAGATTAACATTTAAATCAGTCGACTGAGTAAAGCAGATCGCTCTCATTAATGTGAGTGGGCTTCATCCAATCAGCTGAAGGCCAGAATAGAAAAAAAAAAAAAAAAAAAGGCTGACTTTCCCCAAGTAAGAGAGGACTCTCCCTGCCTGACAGCCTTCAAACTGGGACCGGCTTTTTTCCTGCCTTCCTACAGTCTGTTCTCATCATGAGTTCCCAGCTGTAGATGCTTTAAAGCATGTCAGCTGTTTTTCCTTTGCTTAAAATTTTCCGACAACTCTTCACGCCAAGAAATGACCAAATTCCTTACACAATACAATGCCCACTTTTTCTACAGGCCTCCTCCCACCCCCCAATCTTTCTGGTGTCATCTTCTACACACTTCCCCCTTGTTCACTGCGCTCCAACCACTCTGGTCTCCCTGCTATTCCTCGAACATGTTAAACAAGCTCCCGCTTTAGGGCCTTTGCACTTGCTGTTCCCCCCGCTTAGAAAATTCGTACCCCCAAAGGCCACACAATCTTTTAACCTCCCTCAGGTTTCTGCTCAAATGTTACCAAGGTTTACCTTTAATAGGTATTTAAAATTGAGCTCAGTGGATGAAAAATATGCAGCAGCAGGTTGTGCCCCAATAACTAGATCCACAGCATCATTCCCCTCCTAGGGCCCAGGATTGACACCTCTCGCCCGCCCCCGCCCCAAGTCCACACGGCCTCTCTGTCGGGTAAGGCGTCCCTGCACTTCCACCCTCAGGGAATCAGTTAATCCCCAGCCCACGGGCTGCAGTTCCTCCCCAAGCTGTGGCACAGTCACCACTCACCAATCCAACGACCGGCAGGAAGGGCCAAACGCTGTCAAGTCCCGTCTTAGCTCTTTGCTGATCTCCGGCTCTCGCTCCGCGGTTCACTTTAGCGTCGCTCTAGGACTGCCGGAGGACCGCGGCTCGATGGCCTTCTGCTCCCGCCTCGCAGGAGGCGGCCAAGCTCCCAACGGTTGGCTGAACGTTCTCTAAGCCCCGAGGCTGAGAGGGGCGTCCCGTTGTGCGCTTACTGTTTTTTCATTTTTTAAGCCGAAATTTATTTTATTCATGTAAAAAACGGGCCAGCTCACTTTACTGTTAGCACAAACAGCTGGCGTTCCACTTTGCTTACTCACGTAATTAAAACACGGACACATATATTACCATGTCTTCCCAATTTAAAAAGTCATCAAATACAGTGGAAAAAATAAATGTCGAAGTATTTTGAAGATTAAATTGAACAATGAACGTATATTTGTATTGAAGGGTTTAAGGTAATAAAAAATTCAGAATTGTTACAAAACGCAAGTTCGTGAGCTGGACGAACAGTGAGGCCAAACCAACCAAAACGTCGGAGTCTGGAACAGAGAAAGGTTTATTGCAGGACCAAGCAAGGAGAACGCGTGGTCCGTGCTCAAAACACCCCCAACTCCCCAAAGGTTTTCAGCAATGCATTTTTTTAAAAGCCAGGTGACGGTGGTCAAGCTCCTGCACACTTCTCTGATTGGTTGGTGTTGCGGTAACAGGGTGGTTAACATTATCAGTTCTTAGGAGCCTGTAGGTCTGGGGGCTCATGATCATCAAGTAGTTAATTTCTTCCATTTGGTGGTAATTTTAGCATCTGTAAAACAACTCAGGAAGAATGCATCAGGTACTATTATCTATGTATCTATACTTCAGAGAGGAGCCACAGCAGAGGATATGGGGGAGGTGTCTGTCCTGGGGAGGCCCCATAGGGTCCTGCTCAGTTACAGTCTGTCTATTACTATGGGAGAGAATAATCAACGATTATTCTCTGCAATGTATGGGGGTGAGGGGGTGGTGCAGGGGATCATATATCACTACAAAAATAAATTCTGCAAAAGAAAACAAATATTCCCTCTCTTGCCCACCTCATCACAAACTGTATTTTTATAGTCTGTGAACAAAATAAACCCTTTAAAAAACCTGAACAAACTTTGGTTTCATCATTGATAATTTTGAAACAAATATCATCCTAACCATGGTTTTATGTCATAATTCATATTGTTTCAAGCCTGAAATTTTCATAACAGGAAAGAAAAAAAAATTCTATCATCAGGAGAGTTATCTTCTCCTTGAGGGTCAGAGCTCGAAAATATCTTTTAAAAGTTAAAGTAGGGCTTCCCTGGTGGCACATGCCGCGGAGCGGCTGGGCCCGTCAGCCATGGCCTCTGAGCCGGCGCGTCCGGAGCCTGTGCTGCGCAACGGGAGAGGCCACAACAGTGAGAGGCCCGCGTACCACACACAAAAAAACAAAAAACAAACTTTTCCTTAGGCTAACAAATCCAGTCAATGCAAATATTTTACTAATTAGAAGTTAATATTCTGTCCTGAAGGGAAAACATACAACTGATTTTTCAAATTTAAAAATTAGTGCTTTCCCCCCAAAAAATTATGCAAGGAGTAAACATAAATTTTAATTTTAAAAGGAAGTAAATGTATTCTAATTCATTTACCCCCTTTCAAACTCCCTACCATGGCTGGCTTCTTAAATGTCACTCATATTATCAAGGCTGAGATTATTGGCATTGCGTTGTTTATCCCATGAAAATAAATACACTTAATGTAGCTTGACAAACAAGTTTTTCAACAAAAATTCAAGGTGTGCATTTTTATGTAGTCTGTTTGTATCTTTTGGAAGGGGTAGAGGTAGATAAGGTGAGAACAAATCAAAATGCAATTTTTACCAGGACAGAGCTACATTTCACTAATAATACAAATCAATTTTCGAACTTGAGATTTTCATTTTCCAGGATTATCCTCATTTTTGTAAACAAAACGGTCGTCTATATGTTTCCATCAGGTCCATTCATAGGATATTTAAAATAAAAGCTTCCTTTTCTATATGATCAGAGGCACTGTTGCATTACAGCCATGAGTTACAAGTATCCCAGTAGCATGTAAAATTCTTTGATGGCAGGGATCAAGCCTAACTTGCTGTTTGGTTTATCCCTAATATCTGCTATAGCGCCTAGCACATAGAAAGCACTTATAAATATCTTCCCTTTGATTTAATAATTCCACTTCTAGATGGCCATTTTTAGATGACCCAAAGGACTTTTGACCCAATAATTAATTCTATTTCTAGATGAGTATGCTATAGATAATACTCTCATACATCCACAAAGATTTTCACTGCAAGTATTGTATAATACCAAAATACAGAAAACATCTTAAACATTGGATAAAACATGGTTCTTCCATACAATAGAATATTATAAAGTCATTAAAAAGAGATAGATTTACATGCATTGATATAAAATATCTCCAATATATATTGTTTAGTGAAAAAAGCAAGGTATAGATCCATCTGTATAGTGCGGTATGGTTTGTTTCTAAAAATGGAAATATACATATGTAACAAGGCGGCTTTCACCCAACTCTCTTTGGGGAAAATCTCAAGGTAGTGTGGTCCAGTGTCAATCAAGTCACGTACTGGGGTAAAAGTGCCCTTCTACATCACTCTGTCCTGCCAGATTCTAGAACTGCACTCCTTCTCCTTCAGCTCTGTGGGGTTACCAGGGTCTTGAGCCTTGAAAAGGGGCATATCCAAATTAGTTTGGTTAGCGCTGAAGTCTCAGAGTTCAGGAAGATGTCACTGGATGACAACAAAAGCCTTACCACAGAACATGAGTGGAGCTCACTCTAAAAGTCTTTTCCAGCATTGGTGCTAGCCAGTCTCTCAATGCTAACTCTCTTGTCCACCTGGTCCCACCTGATCTGATCTCCTTTTCATGAGCTCCTCCTTTATTCTCATTTTGTTCTTTCTCCTCCTAGCCTAGCTGGTGCCTAATCTACTCTTTGGAATACTCAAGCACTCTGGATCGTTATCTTTTTTATATCTATTTTTATGGATAAATCCTATCACCCCTTCAATCAGGTACTTGGCTTCTAAGTCAAAGCCAAGCTTTTCTTCAAGAAAACTTTGGCTTTCAGCACCTGTACTCTCTATTCTATATTTTTAAAAAAATCATTCAAAACTGTAGTGAGCATTTGTTGGTTGCCTACCCCCCCTTCCCAACATTACTCTGATTTTCACTCAGGTATCCATTCCTTGCCCATGTAGCCCATTAGGGTGACAAAACCTGCAGATTCAGGAGTAGGCCGTTCTATTTCCCTTGCAACAATTCCTTTTGTGAGGAAGGGCATGTGACCTAAGCTAATCTAATTAGGCTGCATCTCAGTATTCTTGTTTGGAATGCCAGGACAAAAATGTTCTCTCTTCATAGGTGGACCAGGAAAATATACAACCAAACTCAGGAGCTTTGGCAGCCTTTTCGTTATTTAAGGGAAACCAGCCTGAAGAGGAAAATGAGCCAATAAACCTCTACTTTTTAACTCAGTGTTAAATGGAAACCAGAAATATACACTCAATTGAATCCTTTGTTCTTTCTGGGGTTCTTCTGGTTCTCCCTGGGGTAAATGAACGTCTCCATGAGGCAATGAAGCCCTCAAAGAGAGAAAAGTCAGAGCAACAGGGAAAAAAACAAAAAACCCTTCAGGTTAATAGATCCAATTTTTAGCCTGCAACATACATGCTTGTATATACACGGAACTTATGGACAGATATAGAAGATTCCAAAAAGAGATTTCTTTGGGGAGAAGGATCAGGGACTGGGGTAAAAGACTTACATTTTACTGACTTTTCTCCTGTAGTGTTTGAATATTTTTAAAAACGTGCACATTTTACTTTTAAAATTAAAAATAACAAAAAATAAATTGCTAAAGAGATCTCAAAAAGCAGTTTTTTCTTGAGGAACTTATAGTAGGTACAGCAGCATCATAAAGTCTTTTAATTTTGGTCAGATAAAATTCTTAAAAGTCCAGCTATAGAACAAAAGTTATTTGTCATCTTTCCTTTTTGTCTTTCGGTACACCATCTCTCTGAAACTAGCTAGAATCTTATTCTCTCTTCCGTCTTTCTTCTTGGTTAAAGGATGCAAGGGCTCTCTTCTCATCAGCACTATAGATCTGGTTCTCTTTACGCAGTCGCACAGCCTCCATTCTGCAATGCCTGCTACCACTCATAACATAACCTAAGCATTCAAAAGAAGCAATCTCTTCACTTCTCAGCCCAATTTCACCTCTTCATGGGATACGCTTTCCAGCTTTTACATACTCAGCCACAGCTGCACCTTCACCTGGAAGCAGAGCATGGCCATAGTTCAAAGGTTCCTCATCTTGAGAGGTGTGTATTATAGGTGCCTCTGGACCTATTAGAGCCATGTTATCTGCAATCTTTGACTGCTCAATCCAGATATCTTCTGGCAACTCCCCTTCTGAATCCTTACAGCTTTTGACACTGGATTCTTTTTTAGTCTTCTTCGTCTTTTTCTTGGGCTTTTTAGCTCTGTGTTTTTCTTCTCTTTCTTCTTGGATTTTGTTGCTCTCTTTTTATCATCATCAGAGCTAGTGTCGTAGTCTGAATTACTGTCGCTGTTATCAGAATATTTTCTCTGTTTTCCTTTGGACTTTTTCTTTCTTTTCTTATTTTTTGAACGACTGGCCTTTTTCCTTTTTTCTTCGGAGCGGGAACGTGAACTGCTGTTCTTCTTAGTCTTTACCTCTTCATCCTCAACTGGGCTGTGTTCACCAGAATCTGGCTCAGGAAACTCTGGAGACAGCCCCCACACCTCGGGTGCTCCCAACTCCCCAGTCCTTTCTCTCTCTTTCAGCCTCCCCTGACGATAGCTCTCCTCCTCCTCCTCATAGTCTTCCGCCCACTGCCTGTCGCCCGCATAGTGGTGGTGATGGTAGCGGTATCCGCCATAGTAGACAGAAGAGGACGAGAAAGCGTAGTTGCGGAGCCCGGTGGGCCGCTCCCGAGATCCAGAGCGGCTAAAGGTACAAGGAGCGCCGACGCCCGACCCACCCCACTGAGGCCTGAGGCCCTCGCGGCCGCGGGAGTGCGAGTGGGATTGGGAACGGCTGCCCCCACGGGGATGGTCTGGTCTGCGCGGAAGGCAGGCTCCCCGACGAGCTGCGTCGCCGTCTCCTAGAGGCTGGGGTGTCCTCGGGGTAGCGCGACCAGGACACTGGCACCATGAGCCACGCTTTCACAAGGGCACTTACTACAAAGACCGGAACTGACGGCGATTTCCGGCCACGCAAGCGCTCTAGCAACGGTCGGGCGCACGACTTCCGCTTCCGGCGCTTGCCAGAAGAAAACCCAATCAGCATGTGGGCTGTGAGGCCCCTGTTTTGGTTGAGGCTGCGTGGTGGCCTCTTCGCAAGAGCGGATAAAGGGGGCGTGGCCGCGCCTGTTGTCAGGATTTACATTCCCCATCCTGAGCCCCGTGGGAACGTAAAAAGAGGAATTCGCATCAGTGAATCCCTGTACTGTTCAAACACTCCCTTCTCTACATGGTTACTTGCTGTTAAGCATTTTGATACCCTCTCTCCTATCATTCTCACTTCCGCCCTCTTTATCTTTACCCCTTGGTGAAGTTTCCCTACTTCTCACGCTCCTCTTGTTAACTCCTTAAAAAGGACCTTGTCCACCATCTTCATGGCAGAGATACGTTTACGTTTATTAATGACTACCAAATCCCACTTGGAAGCAAGACCCCGAACTTATTTTAAAATCAAAGTTTGAGCTCAGCCTGAGTTAAGTGAGGACTGGAGTCATGATTTGTATTCTTAAATTCGCAAAACACAGGAAAGCATCTAACCCAGGCTTGTAGATGTCTCCTTATCTAGTTGAGCTTTTCAGAAACTGTTGTTTGGGAACCACGTTCTGCACACACTTTGTTTACTCTCTAAAATGGCAAACATTTCATGCAAGATTACTTCCCCTGGATCTTAAATGTGCATAGACATTACCATCATCTTGGTTCTCTATAGTTAAGTTGACCTGCTCAGTTAGTTGACAGACTTGGAAAGTGACAGAAAAGTTAAGTCAGAACTTAGGAATGGTGCTTTCCTGATGCTAGGCGTCTAAATGAATAAAATGGATTAATTAAATAGAACCAAATGAGGTCATTTGATCTAAGTAAAATTTTAGTAATGTGATTGAAGGAGACAAGGACTGGCATGGTGCCCTGCCATAAACTATGCTACCTTAGGAACTGGCAAATAGGAGGGAGTATTAAAAATGAATGGTCACATGTATGGTGAAAATATCACAATGGATAAAGTATTACAGATTCTCTGTAAGTAAAAATGTCATATTATATGTAAAAAAATATTCTTTTGGATAAAATTAAGCCACTTAGTATTAGATGGGGTTTTCAAATATTGATTGATTGATGGAATATCTCTTTCAGATAATATATGGGAAAATTAGTTTTAGAATATAGTTTTGTTCCTTAAGAAAACTATGATCTAGAACAGGGATTAGCAAACTTTTTCTGTAAAAGGCCAATAGTAAATATTTTAGACTTTGTGGACCAAGAGACAAAATTGAGGATATTACATATGCACTTATATAATAAGACAGAAAACAAATTTCCACACATTTTTATTAATGAAATATAATTATCTTATTCAAACTATAATAATTGAGTACAATTTTTCGTAATACAGGTCTTCTGATGGGAAGAATGAAAAAAATTTTTTGAGAAAATAACATTTTGCTTAATTGGGATGCTGCCATTGTAGAGCAAAAGCAGCGCCATAGACAATATGATCACATTTATAAACTAACTCCAGAGTGAATTTTTCTAATGATGACAGAGGCCCAAACATGGAGAGAGAGCTTTTCTCTACATTTCATTTTAAGGGGCTTTTTTCCCATTAAGAAGGAATGCTACCTTTTAAGGAGTACCTTGTTGGTGCTAGAATGTTTCTCTTTATGGTTGAACAGGTATTTCTGCTGATGGGGAGGTTTGGTTGATGCATAATGCAGATACACAATGCACAGTAGAGGAAAGAGAGGAGGCCAAAGGGCAGAGAAAAAAAAATTTTTTTTTCTTTTGGCCACACCACGCGGCATGCAGGATCTTAGTTCCCCGACCAGGGATCGGACCCAGGCCCCCTGCAGTGGAAATGCAGAGTCTTAACCACTGGACCGCCAGGGAAGTCCCCAGAGAAAATTTTTTATGTTTAAGTTTTCCTTGTCTTGCCATAAAATATGAATTTTATTTCACAAATAATACAAAAGAACAAGCTGGATCAATTTCCAGATTCACTCATTTAATAGGAACTCTGCTAGGGGCTAAGGATGCTCTGGTAAGCCTGTCATTTATCTCACACATATGTCTCAGCCCTTCTATACCCCCTGCTGTAGCGGGTCTGAAAGGCTACAAACTTCATTTCCGAGGATCCCAATGCTGATGGGCAGAATTGGTGAGGAACAGAGGGAAGAAAACGGTTAAAAGTTTTAACACTTTAGTTAATACCTGAAACTATAGTTATTTTCTGACAGCTTGGAAATTATGCAATGTGTTAGCTGTTTAAGAATTTGCTGAGATGAAAGGAATAATCACATGGTTTATTACTATTATACAAATAAGTTACATTTGGGTTGTTCAGATTTTTTTTTCCTAGACCCTTAAAAATCTTGAAGTAGCTTAGAAATTCGAATAAAAATGGGAATTTGGAAAGTTGTGCAGAGGATTTTGGATGACAACCCAATTCCTAATAAACAAAATACACGGAACAGGCAGGAATATATCACAGTATTCAGCCATTAATTGGGAAAGGAGACCAGGAGCACTTGCTATGTTCAAATTCCAAGGTCTTAGATTGATGTGGTAAATAGAAAGGACTTGCTAATGCTACAGACAAAGTGAGAAATGTGGGTAGATGCAGAAATAAAAGGATATTTCTACAATAAAATGTTATGTTAACAAAAAATGTCCACAGGAAAGTAGTCATCCCCAGATATTTCTGTAGCAGCAACTCCATTTAAAACGTACAAAACAGGTACCACATCTACAGAGCTGACTGAAAAAAAGTTCCTGCGTTTGAATTCGTCAGACCCAATTTTAGCTATCACAAGGAGTAACAAAAGATAGACTAAATAGTGTGTTTAGAGAAAAGTAGACAAATTAAGTTTACTGAGTAAAGTTCTCATTATGAATAATTGAGATGGAACCGCACAGATGATTTGGGACATCACTACAAGATAAGATCAACACTGTCACATGCTTGTGTCAGGACACTATTTTTAGAGAGCCTTTACTATTAAACAATTGTCATTCCAATATATAGAGGTTTTGGCTAACAAAGTGTTTAACCTCCATTTCTCTATCAATATTAACGTTTTCAGATTATTTATCCAGCACTTCTTATTTGTATGAGCAGATCCTCACAAGCCTGTGAGGTAAGTTGGCACTCCTACTATTTTTTTTCCCACTAAAGGAGGAGGAAGAGGGACTTCCCTGGTGGCGCAGTGGTTAAGAATCCGCCTGCCAATGAAGGGGACATGGGAAGATTCCACGTGCCCCGGAGCAACTAAGCCCGTGTGCTACAACTACTGAGCCTATGCTCTAGAGCCCGTGAGCCACTACTACTGAGCCCCCGCACCATAACTGAAGCCCAGGCGCCTAGAGCCCATGCTCTGCAACAAGAGAAGCCACCACGATGAGAAGCCCATGCACCGCAACAAAGAGTAGCCCCCGCTCACCCGCAAGTAGAGTAAGCCCGTGCTCAGCAACGAAGACCCAACGCAGCCGGAGAAGGAAAAGAAACAGAATCTTCTGCAGGAATACACACATCTTTACCAAAATTAAGAACCCATCTAGGAGGGCTATTCATCAAAAATCTCTTTTCATTGTAACTGTTCATTCTACCCAAGTAGAAAAAATAGCTATAATTAGTTACTTATTAATGAAAAGGAAAAAGAAAGAAAATGGGGGATTTCAGCATTGTTTCAATTGGAGAAGTGAAGTATTGGATTGGCCAAAAACTTCCAAAACCCCAATGAACTTTTTGGCCAATCCAACAGAATGGCTAATTGACACTAAAATTCCTAAATACAATTTTTAAAAGCATGAAAAGTGACGTTTTATTCCACTTTATATACTGCTTATATCTAACTAAGCAGCTTATTTTATGGGGTCTAATTTCATCTGAAAATAATTTTTTTGACCATCCTTTTAAATAGGCTAGAGTTAAACCCATTTTATAATTCACTTACTTATAAACACACATTTGTTATATACAAAAGTGGGGTGTCTAAAAGCCTATCAGCAAAGTAACTTTTTAATCTGAAATTATACAATAATGCCAGATAGTTTCCTAAATAATATTTTTATCATAAAATGTCAGTGGCTCCCCAGTGTTACTGAATAAAATTTCAGCCCCTTGCTCCGGCACTGAAGGCCGCTACAATGTATGTATCTCTTCAAACTTGCCTTAGTTACTAAATTTGACAAACTCCTTTAGTCTTTTCAGCTAACATGTCACCCTGTCCATGCAATAGCACACAGCCAGAAGTAACCTTTCCCTCCTCTGAACTTCCACAGCATTCAGTTCACCACTCACAAGTTATTTACCATGGCACTGTCTTATTTTTATGTGCAAGTCTTATCAATATTACTATACTGAAAGCTTAAGCCCAAGTATGTATGCATGTGTGTGTGTATGCTTTATTGCTTTCATTGTCAGGCATAGTAGGCACTCAAAAGTAGTTTTCTATAATCTTTCCTTCCTCTATGGAGAAGTCTTTTAGGTTTGGAAGGAGCAGAAAGAGTGAAAGGAGGTGCAGTGTTCCTTTGTTAATCTCAATAAATTATACTTATTAAGTGTATAATGTTTTCTGGTTTGTAAAAGGCTTTATATGTATCTCTTTACATGACATAAGGAACAAACACCAAAGAAAAATAAACAATGTTTAAGATCAGGGCTATTAGCAAATATTTAGGAAAAATAAAGATAAGGAGATAAGAGGAAATGGCTAGCTTTGCGGAGGTAACAAAAATACGGTTAATTTAAAAGGAAATTTTAAAAGGCTAGAAAAGATTAACTGGAGGACGTCTACAGGATTTTAGAACACTAAAGTTTTAAATTATACTGCAACAAGAGGATAATGAAGGCAATGAAAGATTGTAGGGAAATGATAAAGGAAGAGCCCCACAGTTTGCAAAGTCCCTAGTCAGCCAGGGGTACTTCAGAGCAGGAATCCAGCAAGGGTACTTGAGAACAGAAGAAAACGCTATGCTGGGGACGATTTCCTCAGAGGCAGAACCCATTCTTGTTAAAGCTGGAAGCTGGGGATGGGCACTCAGGCACCTACGAAGAAGGTAGCAGTCTCTGAAGAACTTAGCAGAAGGTGATCTGGGTGAAAACAGGAGATATCATGAAATTCTTGAGAGTCTTGACTTCACAGGTTGATACTCTGAATGTTGTGGAATCGTTTTGGTCAGATACCCAGGACTCCCAATGTGTTTCTGAAAAGATACATTTTCTCCTACTGCCCATACTTGGGTCTCTATCAACATTGGCTGCCTCTGACCCAATCTCCCTCTCCCCAACCACAGGGCAGTTTTAAAAACATGAACAATACTTGTTATAAACGTTTGGTGTGAATCCTCTGACCTGGAGGGAGTTTAAGCTTAGCTGGCATGAGCTTTCATGCACACTTGACTTTAAGTTGGGAGAGAGGGATATAGATGGTGTCTTGGCACTTGGTTAGGCCCAAGATAACCGAAAGGTGAGAAACAAGCTGTTGAGGATCATAGGATATTTTTTTCTTAATTTTTAAATTTTTTTGGCTGCACAGCCTGTGGGATTTTAGTTCCCGAACTAAGAATTGAACCTGGGCCCTCAGCAGTGGCAGTGTGAAGTCCTAACCACTGGACAGCCAGGGAATTCTCGCATCATAGGATTTTCATCAAGATTCATAATAGTTTTGATCTGACTTGGTAAATTGATTTTTATTTACCTGAATGTGAAAGGTTTCCCCCTAAAGAGTAGCAAAATTAATATGAACTAATGTAGTTAACGTTGACTATAGCCTGGAATTGTACAGATGGAGCAGTCTCACAATGTCTTAATGATAAAGAAGCTGTTTAAGGCATTCTTACTATAACTACTATGCTGGTGAAAAAATATGGATTCCTCCACCCCAACTATGACAATCTTACGTATTTGACAATAAATATACTAGAATCCGAATCTAGATAAATATTCTAGACCCAGAATCTAGAACCTCAGAGAATTAGACTAAGCCCACACAAATGGCCTTAGATAGTCCTCAGAAATCTAGACAACATTAGATTTTCAGAGCTATGAAGGTCGTTTCACTGGTATATTTAATAAATGTTTATAGCACCTGTATGCAAGGCACAATGGGGGTATAAGACATCATTGATCCAACCAACTGGTGAGGAATTCATTATAGGCAAAATGAACAGTCAGAGCAGCAGCCCCCCAAATCAGAGCCATCCACCCAGGAGACGTCATAAAGTGCTGGCCGAGGGTGATTAATTAGCCAGTCTAGAAGCCCATTTAAGTCTAAAAGGTAAGAATCATTTCAGGTCTGACCTCTTCCAGACAACTCTCCCATAGCCTCTTATCAAACAAGTTTTTTTTTTTCAGTCACCTTCTAAGATGTAGAAGATAATTCACCTCAGCCAGTCTCTGTTTTCTAACAAACACCTGATGATGTGTGGGAGTAAATAAAGCCCAGCTCACAATTTTCTAGTCAGCAAGGGCTCCAGGGTGGCTTCAGTTCAACGAGGAGTGAGCACCAACTCTGGCATATAAGACATGGGTCATGGAGACAGAATTTTTTTCCCAGCGTGGCTTCTCTGATGTTGAATAAGGTATGAAGTTCGGGTGAAGCCTTTTCCGCATGTATCACACTGATAGGGTTTCTCACCAGTGTGGATTTTTTGGTGCTCAATAAGACTTCTATTCCTAGTGAAACTTCTCTCACACTCATTACATTTATAAGACACGGGAGCCTCAACATTTTCCCACTGGCTTCCCATCCTCCCCTGACTCTCCCAGGTCTCTCCATGGTCAGGATTCTGAACGTTTTTATCGCCGTGGATCCTCTGATGTCTCAGGAGATGTGAATTGCGCCTAAAGGCTTTGCCGCACACATTGCACTGGTATGGCTTCTCCCCAGTGTGGATCTTGCGATGTTCAAGGAGGCTGCAGCTCTGGCTAAAGGTTTTCCCGCAGTCATCACACTCGTAGGGCTTCTCCCCGGTGTGAGTTCTCTGGTGTTTGATAAGGTTTGAACTGTGACTGAAGACCTTGCCACATTCCTCACACTCATATGGTTTCTCCCCAGTGTGGACTCTCTGATGAATGACGAGGGCAGAGCTCCCGATGAAGGTCTTGCCACACTCCTCACATTCATAGGGTTTCTCCCCAGTGTGGATTCTCCTGTGCTTAGTCAGGCCTGAACTCTGAGCAAAAGTCTTTCCACATTCATGACAATAATGCCGCCTATTCCCTGCAGCACTTTTCTGCTTTCTTTGTAACCTGCCCTCCTGTGCACCAGCTTCTGCACGTGCAGGAATCTGGCCAATGGCTTCACCCAGGTGGCATGGCATCTGCCCAGACTCTTGTCCTGGATGGTCCTCGTCTGGAGGCAGGTCCCTGATCTTCGTCTGCACTGCACCACCTGAACAACAAATGGCCAGCAACTGTCAATTATGTCCTGCCACAGGGGAGAGCTTCGTGATGAGTCCCAGGGAGGCAAGAATTATAGAGGTGTTATGTATGCCATGGATGAAGATTTAAGTATTAGAATAAAGATGGGAATAAAGGGGGAGAACAGGGGTGCTGGGGAGGGAGACCTGAGAATGAGAATGGGGCCATTGGAAGAAGGGTACAATCTGGGAATGGAGAGATTGGAGGGAAGGTGGTGAGGCCTGAAGACTGTGCTGGGGATAAATGCAGATGCTCTAAGTTCTAAGAAAGTAAGGCAGGGCCATGTGCTTAGGATTAGATACTAAAAGGGCTGAGCAGAAGGTGACAGTAAACAAGGCAAGTGAAAGGATTTCTGAAATGTTCTATGAGAAACAGGGAAAGTAGGAACTCAGAACTCACTGACGACTGGAAGGTGCAGTCATCTCTGGCTGCACCCCAGGCAGAGGCAGGGTCTGCCAAATAAAACTGGCATCAGTGCTGGGAGATCTGAGCTGGAGCCCCCACTGTGCTGCCAGTGAGCTATGTGAACTCAGACAAGCCAGGCAATCTTATGCACCTCTGCACTGCACGCTCATCTCTAAGGCCAGGCTCTGCATTCAATCTCTGGCTCACTTCTAGCTCTCACTCTATGGTCCCATGGCCCCCTTCCTGAAGAGATCCCTCAGCTCTCCTGCACTATCAGGGCTAGCAACAGGAAGGGAAGGGGAAGAAATCAGCATTTACTGAGCATCTACTATGAGCTGGACCTGTACTAAGGGCTGTACCTCCTTCATCCCACTTAAACTGAACTGACCAGGACACTGGCAGGACAGATAAAAAAGCAAGGCTCAGAAGAGTTAATAAACTAGTCACACAGCTGGTTAGTAGTTGGGATTCAGAAATGGTGGTTCTAATTCCAAACATAATTCAAACAGTTTCTAACAGCCTAGTAGATTCTAATACACAAAGGAAGCCAGGAAACCTTATAAGAAATCAGTGCCCATTAGTCTTACCCAAGGAGATCAGGCTGCCACAGTTCTCCTGCCTTTCATCTCTGTAGAAGTTCACCTGAGATGAATCCAGCTGTGTCCATCCAGGAGTGAGGGTCAGGGCCACATCTTCCATTTTCAGCAGCCCCTGAAACAGTGAGTAATTCCATGTAATTCCTCTTGTCCAAAATCACTCCCAAAGCTGGGTACATGCAATGAAGGAGCATCCCCTTTACAGGAGCTCTTTACAAAAAAGCAAGTATGGCATACTTATGCCTACTTAACCCTATCTCTAATAACATCTCTGTCAAAAAAATAACCATGAAAGGAAAGAAATACACACATTATCAATACTTTCATATAAACATCTAAACAGTCCAGAAGGTGAAAGGTTTGGAAAAACAAGGGCCAGTGCAGTGAAAGGAGTGGAACCATATCCAAACTTTTCAAAATATTTGTGGTGTGCTTTGGCAAAGTGGGGATGGGGGCTTATTTGTATTAATGATTTTAAAATACAGTGAAATCTAGGTCTGAGGTGAGGAAAAACCAGGGAAAATAGGTTCTACGGAGCCTCAAATACTGAGATCTTCAAGCAGGACATGAAAGACTGGGTAAGAAATTAAAATCCAGGTTAAGTAAAGACTATTCAAATTGTAATATTAAATCTTAGACTAAAAGCACATGTCTTATCTGCTCCTTCAAGTTTAAGTTCCTAGAGGGCAGCGGGCATGACTCTATATCCCTCACTAGCAGCACAGTTTATGGTACTTAAAAAAACAAAACTACATCACCATCACAACAAAATCTTCAGTTTGTATTTGCTAAATTTCCCTTGCTGAAGAAGAAAATCTCCTTGATGAAGGAGCTGACCAAACAGATGGCTAGGAAGAGCAGGGAAGCACAGTCTCCAAGCTAGGAGTGAAACAGGAAAATCTTAAGTGAATACCAAAATAATGACAGATGATAATTAGCAACCTTGGGATAAATGAGAATACTCAAACTCCATGTAGATCCAGGATGAGGGTGGAGGAGGCATGGAGAGAAAGGGATCTGATGGGAAGCCCATCAGCAGGGAAGGGTGCTGGGTGCTGGGGGAGGGACAGGGGTTCCACCTCACCTGGGACTCTGGGGCAAGCCTGGCGGCTACCACTTCATCTTCTCTGCAGCGCCCTCCAGAGGCAAGCCTAGGAACCTGGAGAACTAAGAAGGAAAGAAGCTCTGGATGAGATTGACCCTGACATTCAACCTCCCTGGCATTCAGCCTCCGTAAGCCGTGAAGTCCAAGTTCAAAAACTGCATAAATTCCCATAAAGAAGTTTATACAGTGTGTCTTTCCAAAATTCCTGATCCCTGCCAGCTCAAATCCTACGGCCTGAAGAGATGTGATGTACTCCACAGATGCACAAAACGATGGGCTGGATCCTTGGTAAGAAGTGGTAGCAACATAAAAACAAAACAAAGCATTCCATCTGAAGAGCCTTTAATGTTGAATTTTGCTGAGAGAGGGAATAAGAGGATTTCTGTGGTTTCTTTTTTTGGCCGCACCACGCAGCATGAGGAACTTCCCTGACCAGGGATTGAACCCGCGCAACCTGCAGTGGAAGCACGGAGTCTTGAGCACTGGACCACCAGGGAAGTCCCAAGGATTTTCATTGTTGTTAAAATTTCTTTAGTAGCTCTTTGGGTGCTTTATTCTTTTCTTTTTTTCTTTTTTTTTTTTTTTTTTGGCTGCATTGGGTCTTCGTTGCTGTGAGCAGACTTTCTCTAGTTGTGGCGAGTGGGGGCTACTCTTCGTTGCGGTGCACAGGCTTCTCGTTGCGGTGGCTTCTCTTGTTGCAGAGCACGGGCTCTAGGCACATGGGCTTCAGTACTTGTGGCACGCAGGCTCAGTAGTTGTGGTGCACGGGCTTAGTTGCTCCGCGGCATGTGGGATCTTCCCAGAGTAGGGCTCGAACCCATGTCCCCTGCATCAGCAGGTAGATTCTTAACCACTGCGCCACCAGGGAAGCCCTGGGTGCTTTATTCTTTAGTTCTGAAAGACTAAGAGGAGTCAGATAAGGCTGGGCCCAGAAAGGAGGAAATGGGAGTCTGCCTATATAGAACTTGCTCAGATTTGAGAGAAGTAAAGGGGAACTTTAGGTTTTCCTATGAAAGGTGAACTTTGCTGGAGGCAGGAAACAAGTTAGGTTAGGCTAGGACCTCTGTTCAGAAATAAAGATTTCCTGTTGGCTGGTGTATCCCAGTGTTGTTTGTCTTGGAAATCTGCCCAGATGTTCACAGTACGTGGGGAACACTTGGGAACATATAACAGTTTCCTACTGAGTGATTTTCCCCCTGTTCTAAGTGACAGGTTTAGAAGATTTATACTCTTTGGTTTGTAGAAATCCTACAATTCTGGAATATTCTGACTGGCTTTACATATTCTGCCTTATATTCCTCATAGCACTCACCAATATCTGAAATCATATTAATTTATTTGCTATTCTCCTTACTAGAATGTAAGTTCCATTGGAGGAAGAAATCTGTCCTACTGACAATGCTATCCCTGGTACCTACAACACTGGCTACCACGTAGGGAGCCTCCAGAAATATATGTTGAATGAATGGAGATCACTGTGTTGCTACAAAAATCAACTCCTTCCAAACACCAATTTTAATAAAGTCTTATTTACCGTGTCCAGGTTTGGTTAGGAAAGCTTTCCACTATTGTTTGAAATTTCCCTATTAGTCTCAAAGTAAAGTAGATCTGCAAGGGGCATATAAGACACCTATCAATAGATCTTGTAGGTGATCCTTAAATAAAATTGGTTGAAGTCTGCAGAATTCATACTGCCCAGAAGATAATACTCACCTCTGTCTGGTAGGGAGTGGGATCCCAGAGATTCATGCTTGAGTGGAGGCTTTCTTGGCTGGAACTGGGTATTTCGTGACCTCTGAGCTGGTGTCAACGCTGCCATCTTGCAACAGAACAGTTCTTGCCCCTGTTCACCACCTGGGACCTAGAAGTCATTCATTTATTTATTCATCAGACACTTCTACCACACTCTCTATGTGCTAGTACTTTCTATTTCCCAGGCACTATTTCTAAGAGCTTTGTGAATGTCAACTCACTTGATGCAGAGCGCAACAACCTTATGAGCTAGGTACTTTTATCATCTGTATTTTTGTAATGGGGAAACTGAGGCACAATGTTTAAGCAACTTGCCCAAGGTCACCCAGGTAAAAGCAGAAATGTTAGGATGGGAGCTCAGGCAGAATGGATCCAGCGCCCACGCTCTTAAGCATTACTCTGTGCTCCCTCATTATATATATTTGTGCTTTTATGAAAACTCTTTGGGAATTGGGGCTAAGTTCTCAGAGAATACTAATACGTTTTCTTATCTAAAAAATGAAAATAATAATTTCTAGCTTACAGGGTTTTGGAGACCAGCAAATAAGATCGCAGTGTGTGAAATCACCTAACACAGGGCCTGGTACATGGTATGTCCTCATTAAATAAAAGTTTCCTTCCAGACATTTGTCATTAATTAATTTTCAAGTCACTTTCGTAATAATTAGCTCATGTGCAGCTTAGAATTTCCCGTATCTAAAGAATGAAGAGCCTGAAGCTGAGACTTGAAATGATTCTTCTCTGTTCTTCTCTGTTACAGGGCTAAGGGGCACTAATGCCTACTCAAGAACCTTGGTCGCTGGGTCACAGGTTAGAAGTCTTTGGTCTGGTTATGTACACGCTGAAAGGAACACACAAGGACACAGAATACTGCAAAGGGAAAATAGACTCATACAACATTCAGGAAGATGCAAGTAAAAATGAACCCTGGGGTTTCCAACTTGTTGTCCACCGACTCCCTCCCATGTATTCCATGAATGTGAATAGGAAAAATAACTTTATTTTTACTAGCTTCTAAGCAAAATTTAGCATTTCCTTCAATTATGAATGGAAGCAACAAACCAAGGTGTTATAAGCAGTACACAGGAATCTGCCACCAACTGAAACTGCAGGTGTCCTCATACCACATTACAACCAGGTAAATGTCAAAGTCATTCATTGCCACTTTGAATACTAGTTATTAGGCCTGTCTCTAGATGTTAATATTTAGTGCATTAATTTTAAAAAGCACATATATAACTTTATCATACATTTAATGCTTTGCTAACTGTATTTCAATATAATTGAGTTCTTTTAAATCCTTTATATTTTCCCTTATGTATTTAAAAAATACTATTATGTGAAGGAGTCCAGGGACTTCACCTTACTGGCAAAGGGGTTCAGGTACAAAAAGAGACTGAGAACTTCTGGATCTTAAAGAAAAGCCCCTCACTCTGATCTGGAGATTTCAGGAAGAAACAGACCACAGCTTTCACAGGCTAAACCTGTTCTCTCTACCTGCGGCATCGGCTCATCCAACTGCTTCTCCAAATACTCCAAGAGCACCACCACCTCCTCCCCGCTCTCCGGATGCTGCTTCCGCACCCAGCTCTGCAGGTCCCCCGGTAGGATGGTCAGGAACTGCTCCAGCACCAGCAGCTCCAGGATCTGCTCCTTAGTGTGCACCTCTGGCCGCAGCCACAGTCGGCAGAGCTCCCGGAGCCGGCTCAGAGCCTCGCGGGGCCCCTCAGCCTCCGGGTAGCGGAAGCCTCGGAAGCGCTGGCGGGAGTGCTCGGAGCCCGGAGCTGGGCTGCCTGGGGCGCCCGCCTCAGCAGCCAAGGCGGAGGCTTCCTCCTTCTCCACCTTCACGGTCAGGATCCCGGTCCGGTCCTCTGCAGACTGGGCGTCCAAGGCTGCGCTTTCCTTCGAGTCTCTAGCCATCCTGGACCAAGGCAGTACTTGGGCCTCAGTCTAGCTGGGAGCTGTATTTCTTCGGAAAATTCTTGAAAGGTGGGAAATCACAATTATACTGTAAAACTGCAGTGGTCCCCTTCCGCGTGTCCAGGGGCCCAGGACACCCCTGGGGCGCAACTTCACAGATTGCCCCCTGTAGTCCGTGCCTTTGCAGCGTCCTCCTCTGCACCCCACCCCGAATCCCACAATAAGTAACCCCAAAGGATGTCTTGGTGGAATGAACAGATTCCAGATGCTGGAGAAAAACTGAGGATGGGGCACAGGAAGCCTCGGTGGGAATCAATGCCACTTCCCGGGCTCTCTAGGAAGCACCTCTCGGTGGTTGTCCCCGAGTTAACCCGTTAGCAACCATGCCCTTACCTCCACTCAAGGGAAGCAGTTAGGGGAAGGAGAAAAAAAGGATGACAGGCTCTGTATCATAAGAAATAAGACTAGATCTTTCAGTCCTGTGAGGATGCTGTTGTGCGCCCCCATGCTCTGATGTAAAGCTTGACTACAGAGCTGGCATAAGATTGACACTAAAATTCAGTAGAAAGCAGAGCTTCCTCAGAGCACCAGGCAGGAGGACATGCCCTTTCTCTCAGAAACATCGAAGACCACATCACCAGGCACTTGCTTGGAGAAGCAGTGGCTGCCCCTGGCTCATGCTCCACTCCAGCTGCCATTCTTCCCTCCCTTTCAAGGCTAAACTACTTGAAGGAAAGCCCTCCTATCTCTGACTCTAGTCCTCACCTTAACACACTGTAGGCGGCAAACTGCCAACAAAGCCATTGAGATTGCTCCTGCAAAAGTAACTAGAGATTCTGTCCCTCTTCCCCTCCACACACAACAGCTACCACTTTCTATTTTCCATGGCTTCCTCTCAGGCAACCAGGATTTCCAGGCTTCCCACTATCAGAAACTCTCTAGTCCCTGGCATCAGGGACCATACTATCTTGGGCTTTCATTCTTCTTGTTTCTTTCCAGCCCTCATTTATGGTCTGGAATAGTGGTTAGATCCGCCGACTCTCAAGCCAAGGGTATGTAATCTTGGCTGTACCACGTACTAGCTGGGTGACCTTGGTAAATTACTTATCCTCTCTGTGCCCGACTTTCCCAATCTATAAATGGGGATAGTAACAGTAGATAGTGATGGAGGAAATTTTTGCCTGTTGAGGTATGGGGAAGTCATTCTGACTTATATGGTGTACATCTGTTCTAACAATTAAAAAAGAATGCATTTACCATATTGTTCACAATCTCCACTTTGAAGACAGAGATAAATGCCCCCCCACCCTTCCCATGATGCCAATGCTATTACTCCTTCGAAGATAAGGGTCCCTTCCCAGACACCAAGGTCATGCTGACTCGCTGTGTATGTGCTAATCTGTCTCTTTTGAAACCTTGAAGGAATGCACGCCTGTCATGTTTGATATTTGTTCTTTGTTCTGACAAGATATGAAACTGTGGTTCGGGCATCCAAAATGGAACCGGGTAACCATTGTGCATGTGGTTTCAGAAATGTTCCTGCGTCACTGAGAACCTGAATTTTCTAAACTGTATCAAACTCAGGGACACTACCAGCTGTTCTCAAAACAGTATCTGCTAGTAGCTGCCAGCTGCAACCTTAAGGTCTCAAGGTCTCCTCTTGTAACTATGTAACCCATTTTGGGCCCCAACCAACCCTTGCTTAGCAAGCACACTTACTTCTTGCCAGCTCCAATCCTAATTTTTTTATTTATTTGGCTGTGTCAGGTCTTAGTTGTGGCATGTGGGATCTTTCGTTGTGGTGCATGTGCAGGCTCAGTAGTTGCAGCATGCAGGCTCTCTAGTTGTGGCACGTGGGCTCTAGAGCACGTGGGCTTAGATGCCCTGTGGCATGTGGGATCTTAGTTCCCCGACCAGGGATCGTACCCATGTCCCCTGCATTGGAAGGCAGATTCTTAAACACTGGACCACCAGGGATGTCCCCTCCAATCCTAATTCTTGACGATTTGTGTACAAATTGTTTTTTGCCTACCTAAGCCCCCGCCCCCCATTTTGTAGTCTGACAGAACACAATTCAAGTGCTTCTTGAATCCATGTCTCTTGGGTTACAGTCCTCAGTTTGGCTCAAATGAAACTCTTTTCTATTATTATTATAGATTGTTTATTGATTATTGCATTGATGAAAGGGATGTTGTGAGCATTAAGGTGAGTTTTTGTGTAAAGTGCTTAGAACAATGCCTGGCCTATAATAAATTAGGCCTACCCTAAAATGGAAGCCCCGAGATTCCTTTGAACCAGGCAGGATTAGATTTTAAGCCAGAAATGACTGCAAAGTTATTTTGGTGGACCAAGATGTCAGTAAGTCCCCTTTCTACCCAATGGAATACAAGTTTACAAGTTTGGTAGAAGTTCATTAAATGGAAGAATACCATGCTGATACCTTCCTGAGTTATTTTGTTTTTATAAATTTATTTATTTATTTATTTATGGCTGTGTTGGGTCTTCATTTCTGTGCGAGGTCTTTCTCCAGTTGCAGCGAGCGGGGGCCACTCTTCATCGCGGTGCGTGGGCCTCTCACTGTCGTGGCCTCTTGTTGAGGAGCACAGGCTCCAGACGCACAGGCTCAGTAGTTGTGGCTCACGGGCCCAGTTGCTCCGCGGCATATGGGATACTCCCAGACCAGGGCTCGAACCAGTGTCCCCTGCATCGGCAGGCAGACTCTCAACCACTGCGCCACAAGGGAAGCCCCCTTCCTGAGTTTTTATTCTCTAGTTTTTGTTCCCTCTGCAGTTCAAGGGATAACAAAGAGATAAAACTTAATAAAATGAGAGATGTCAAGGCTGTTACAAAGGAAAACTACTAGAAAATATTCTTCTCTTGATGAGCTGCCACAGTAGGTACAGGGCACTGCCATGAAGCACTGGCAAAATGAGTGAACCTGAATCTAGTTTCTAGATCTTAATGCCTTTGTATAGGTGAGATACAGAAGCAAGTTAAGCAGTTTTCAAACACCTCAGCACATTAGGATCACTGGGGAGCTTTTAAAACATCCTGAAACCTTGGATGAAACCGAAATCAATTAAATTAGAATGTCAGAGGGTGGGACTCAGGCATGAATGACTTTAAATATTTCCTAGGTGATTCCAGTATGCAGTTGAGTTTGAGAATTAATGAGTTAAATGATACTTAAAAGAAGTAATCAACCAAATCCAGAATGTGGGACATTCTATATTCTATAGAACAGAAGATTCAGGTTCTTCAACAAATAAATGGCATCTTTCAAAAGGGCAGGGGAGAAAGGGGAGCTGTCATATATTAAAAGAGACTGAATAGATATACCAACCAAATGCAACGGTAAACCTTATTTGGGCCCTAATCAGACCAAGACAACTGTAAAATGGCATATTTGAGACAACTGGGAAAACTATATCACAATGGCATTAAGGAATCACTACCAAGTTAGTTGCCATAATGATACTATGTTCATGTTAAGAAAAAAGTCCTCATTTGTTAGAAATTCATACTGGAATTTGTACTTGTGCGTGAACTGACATAAGGTCTAGATTTGCTTTGAAATACTCAGAAAGAAACAGAGGAAAAAAGAAAATGGTGCAAAGATGAGAGTTGTTGAAGTTGCGTGAGAGGCAGAGGGGGGTTCATTGTAATACTCTCTTTACGCTTATATATGTTTGAAATTTTCCGTAGTAATTTTCTTTTAAATTAAACAAAATCCTACCTTCCTTCCAGAATAATTCCATCCAAAAGGCAGGGCCAAAGGAAGTGGGAGAGGAGGTGGCAGCCCAGCCCAGAGTGAGTTCGGAGCCCCAGTGAGCGGGAACAGCGTTCAGCGGGGTGAAGGGAGGAAGCTACAGCAGGAAAATTTACACTGATACATTACAACTACCTCCTCCACAGACCCCATTCAAGTTTCACCAACGTAAGACCTGAGGTCTGAGCCCATGAGAGGAGCAAGACCACATGGGGAAATTGATTACACACAGGAAGGATTAATCAATTAAGTAAATATACAAGATATTGGGAGCCAGATTCCTCATGTCAGAAAAGGAGTTACAAACATGAAAAAGAGAAAGGCCGAAATGAATCCTGTGGTGTTGGATTGGAATTGAAGGTATCAGCGTGAACTCAATTCCCAATATCTACAGTTACTTATAGAAATAAATATAGATGTAGGCATGCAGGTGTATACGTGTATATACAGTATTTGATAAATAGCACTGCAATGTTTTGATATAAATAGAAAAAAAAATTTCTTTGACAAATAAATTACTTCCAGTTGTTTAAAGACTTACAAGTCAAAAAGGAAAACTTTCACAATTTTAGAAAAAAATTAGAAGCATTTTTTATGCTCTTGAATAAAGCAAGATTTCTTTTAAAATACACAAACTGCACAAAATGTGAAGGAAAAATTTCGTAAATTTGACATCATTAAAATTTTAAACTACATCAAAAGATACTGGAAACAAGTAGAAACTACAAACAGAAGACTGACAGAAGATATTTGCAAGCCATATGATCAACAAGGATCAATATACAGACTATACAGAGAGCACTAACAAATAAACAAGAAAAAAGCTAACAATCAAACAGAATAATTGACAAGAACCATACACAGGCAATTCATAGATGTGGAATCTGGAATGACCAACAAACATAAGCAAAGATCCTTAACCTCATTATTTACTAAGAGAAGATAAATTTTAAGCCATTTCATATCCATACCTCAGCAAAATTTTGCAGAGCTTCAATAATATTTGCTAGTAAGAATGTGAAAATTTTTGAACTCTTGTACACAGCTGATGGGTGTGTAAGCCGGTATGCTCACCTTAAAAAGCAATGTCAGGGACTTCCCTGGTGGTCCAGTGGTTAAGACTCTGTGCTCCCAGTGCCGGGGGCATGGGTTAGACCCCTGATCAGGAAACTAAGATCCCACATGGCACGGCCAAAAAAAAAAAACTATGTCAGTATATACTATATAGTAAAGTTGAAAATGATATACACATGGACTTAACAGTTTTAAATTATTTAACCTGTAGGAGTCTTGTACATGAACAATAATGTTAATTGAGTCACTTTTCTGAGCCAGACACTGTTTTAGGTATTCAGGATACAACAGTAACAAAAAAAGGACAAAGATTTCTGCCCTCATGGAGTTTATGTTCCAGTGGGCATTGACAAAAAAATAAACTATGAGAATAAATACATAAATTTTAATAGGACGTCATGAGCACAATGTTTTAGAAAAAGGAATAAAAGAATAAAACAGAATTAGGACAAGACCCTGGTCATTTTTTTACCAGTCTATTCCTCAAGATTGTTTATGTAGCTGGTAATCTTGAAAGATGAGATAACACATCCCAGTGGTTAATTACCAGGCTTACTTACTGCTTGTTATAAAAGCTGAGGATTTCCTAAATTCAGGCTTCCCTGGATGCAACATAGGCATGTTGTGTGTATAGCATCCACCTGAGCCCATCATGTCACCTCCTTGGGACTTGGGGGCAAGGTCAACTGATGCAAATACGATGATCTCATGCTGCTTGCTATCTATGAATAACAAGTGTTAGGCTTGCTATTGATAAGAAATGGGCTGGGAAAAAAAGAAAAAAAGTAAAAAAAGATCAGGGCCTTATATCCTGGACCCATGCAACAAGACATGTAGGAGCACAAAAGGCCCAAGGAGGACTGCCATGCCTAAGGTTTTTGAGAATTGGAGAAGAATAACAATTACAAGGACTTTTAAATAGTATGGCTATTTGGGGGGTGGGGAGGTGGGCAGGCATCGATCCATTGGAGAAACACAATGAAATTTTGAAGGCAAAATGTGAAAGGCATTGGGCCTCTTGGAATCATATAAAATCCTTTGTTTCTGACCCAGGAACTCGTATTTTATGCCAGATTCCATGAAACAATCACAGGCTAAGTTAATTAGCTTGTTACTAGAGTAAAATGAAATCCCAGACCCCTAAAATCTGAGAAAATATGTCCAACAGTCTTTGTCGATGTCCTTTTGCACGTATTTGTTCTTGGGTCAAAGACTCTGGTTATGCATACACATCTATCTCATGATTTGGAGCATTACTTATGAATTTTCCTTAGACATATATTCCCTTTCAGTATTATAGTGATAAAGCTTTGCATGCATAATGATTTTTTAATAATTCTAATTCCCTCAAGATATATACATATATTGGTATGGGAGGCCAGCACTCACTCTAGACACATTTTAACTCTTGCACAGCTTTTACCTCTTGAGGAACAGTCACCTGCTGCCAGACAAAATTAAAGGTATTATGGCTAATTTGTAGGCTCCTTAAAAAGATTTCAGTTTATTAACTCCTCCCCATGGTCACTTTTAAAGAACCCCTTGAAACTAAAAGATTCACTTCTCTTCTGAAACACAGAGAAATTTAGGGACTGCTCAAGTTCCCCGTCTAATTACTAGCAAAATTAGCACTAGAAGCTTTGTTACCCAGAGCTTCAGTTATCCGGTAAGATTTCTACCCACCTATATTGTTTCTCATGAACAGCACCCCTCACCTACATTATTCATCAACTGTTGTACAGGTAACAGTGGTGACTCTCCTGGCTTGGGTAGTCCACAGTCCCACGAATAAGACTGGAATTTCAGTCAGACCTAAGGAAACAGATTCAGGAAAGTAAATAATAGAAGTGGAGGAAGTTGGAAAGTGGCAAATGACATCAAGCACTTGGTTAGGTACTGCCACTGTGAAAGGGTACAGCATGAGCTGTGATGAAAGCCAGCCTTTGATGTGATCTCAAAGAGAAGTCTAGTATATTCCTTCTCTCTCCGTTTCTCTACCTTGCTCCCAAGGGGATTGGGCAAACCTGGAAACACTGCCTCAGATACCTGCATTTTCTCTACGAGTCAAAGAAAGTTTCCCAAGGGTGAACAGAATGTAGAAGACATCTAGGATTTCCCAAATTGTGGGCTGAGTTCCGAGTTAACTTCTTGCTATATGAGCTTCAGAGAATCTCCTGGTTACAGCCTTCATCTAGCTCATCTGATAGTAATACCTTTCTGTTCAACAATTAGTTCTATACCTTAAAAGTGCCCCCAAATCACTGGCCTCTGATGCATTGGGTATCATCTTGTTAAATATTCAAGGGTAGGATGACCAGCAACTGGTCCGAGTGTGAGGATGTCATCCAGGATGTGAAGAGGAGGTGGTGACTGTGCTGGAGGATCTGGAGAGAGAACTTGGTGAACCAGGAGAGCAGATGAAAAGGTTGATGTGGGACTGTGTGTGTGTGTGTGTGTGTGTGTATGATACAAAACAAAAGTGGGTGAGTCAGGGCTCTTTCTGAATAGGCTCCACCACACCTATTTCTTGTCATTCCACCACCCCTTGAGCAGTGGTTCTTGACTTCATTTAGTTCTCCAACCCTTTTGAAAATATGATGGACATTATGGGTCCTCAGTGTATTAAAATTAATCACTACCATAGTAATGCCCTTTCGAATCTAAATGTTCTTAATTACTCATAGGTCCCAGCTGATCCTCTCGAGAAGGAAAGAAGGAGTTGTTATGTCTCCAAACAGATCAGGAATCCCTGAAATTTCACCTCTGGTCCCATAAGCCACATCCCCTTTAAGAGGCTGGTGAGGGGAAAGGCTGCCTCTGGGGGCTCACCTTTTCTAGGAAGCCTCAGCTGACTTCACAGGGAGGTGAGACACTCTGCAGAAGTGAGAGTTTCAGGAAGTCAAATGGACAAGTATGAATTTTTGGTTTTTTAACACATGTTTTTTCTGGTTACACACATTTTTTAAAAAATTGATTGAATGCTAAATTTGTAATTACTCCTTAGTTTATAAGGACAGAGAGACCAGAATCACATGGTAAATAAAAGCATCTCCTAAACTGATTCTCTTTAAACTGTAATTTTTAAAAAATCTTGACTCCATTTTTGATGTTTGATCACTGACAGCTTTCAACCTCTATCTTCCCCTTCCCTTCTGCCCCACATCTGGGCAAGTTTATAAGAAATCCCAGTGCCTCCTCACTTGGCACCTGAAGGAAGTTCAAGCTATGCAAGCCCTTATCTATTTGTGCAATGAGAACTATTTCCTGGACCCGTCCCCTAATCACAATAAAAACCAGGGCCACTAACTCTCACTCTCCTTATGCTACTCAAGCCAGTTCTGGACCAGCTTGGGTGCTGCCCTGCTATCTCCAGAGAGTTCCATGATGAGAGTAATAAATTTTTCATACATTCTTGTGTGTGTGCATGGCATCATCTCTAGTAACTGGGAAGCGGGGTCCATACCACCTCTGTAGGATCATCACATTCACAGTTCAAAGATAAGTAACACAGAATGTGAAAGGCCCATATAATCCCCCATCCACCCTAGTTACCATGTTGACAGTTTGTTGCATATTTGCCCTGCACAGTCAAATCTTGACACATCCATAACCATTCTGTACCATTCTGGATAAGTTCCTATGCCCATCTTCAGTCTTTTTACCGACTGATGTCCACTGTCTGAACTTTTCCTTCCTTTCTTCATCCCATGTACATGTTCTCTGTCTTTCTGGCCCCTGGCACCACAGATTTCATCTTTCTCATGCCCTTCTCATATTATTCCCTCTTCATATACTTTTCAGATATACACAAACTTCCTACTCTTGCATTTCATTTGGAAGATTTTCTCCCTTACAATAGGTCCCTTCTTTTCACTGGATTATTGTTTCAGATGGAAAGGTCAGGACTGATAAAGGGATAGCAGTTCCAAAGAAAATACAGTTATATGGGAAGGTATGTAGAACACTGAATGAGAGCATTCACCAGGATCCTAAGTGTGAAAAAAACAATGGACATGAGATTAGATCAGAACATCAGCAGACAACTCCAGACCTAAGCAAAGTGACAGAAGGGAAAAACTCAGGAGATTTAATATGGTAGTTTTTAAAGCATCTTATGGATGATGACCCAATGCTCCGATGTCTTGTACTCAGAATACCGATGACTTTTTGTAACGCTGAAGATGTGATGGGAAAGCACTAAGGGAATTTCAGGTGACTAAGCTCAAATGAGGGAATCTGAGAATACCAGTATGAAGCATGACACTGTAAACAGATTGGTATTTGGAGTCAAAAGCCAAGGGTTTAACTAAGAAGACCCGATGTGAGATGTTAACACTAGAGGAAGCTGGGTGAACGGTATATAAGCACTCTATCTATCTTTGCAACTTTGTTATAAGTCTAAAATTACTCCATAATTTAAAGTTACTAAAAATAAAAGTCCAGGGTTTAAGCCTTGGTGCTGAGGCTTGGGTTTTGTGAATCTTCAATTCCTCATCTGTAAAACAGGATAATGATAATACTCATTTCCCTGTGTGGTTGTTGTGAGGGCCAACTGTGGTTAAGTAAGTGGAACCCAGCCAGTGCTGGTCACTATCCCAGGGGAGCATCACACAGGTGTCAGAGGGAAGCAGTAGGCACAAAAGGTATTTACTATGCAGGTACTGGTCACGGGGAACACCAAAGACCAATTTACTGTAAAACATCAGCAGAGCTCTACGGGATCTTTAGGGGTTAAACACAGATACAGATATTTCTGGCATGTTGGCTATAGCAGTGCCATTTATTACATTATTAGAAAAGTTTAGCAGCCATCTCAAAGAGAATAAATAAGAGAGATGGGGGTAGTAAGAACAGGAAGGCGCAAAGGAACCAAAGGGAAAGTAGCAGCTTCAAAAACCCAAACCTGCCTCTTTGAATGTCCCCAGACCAAAATACACTTAGTGGAGACAGGAAGAAAGGCGTTTTCTAGTCTCAACCTACCCCGCACGACTTGGCCAGTGATCTGGAAAACTTGCGTACAGCTTGGATTAGACCAGCTCTGCCACCACGTGGATCTTCTGATGGCGGATGAGGTTGCAGTGGCGATTAAAGCTTTTCCCACATTTGCTGCAATGGTGAGGTCGCTCCCCTGTGTGGCTTCTCTGATGCTCGATGAGAAATGAACGCCGACCGTAGCTCTTGTTGCACTGGCTGCACTGATAGGGCTTTTCTCCCTTGTGGATTCTCTGATGCTGGATGAGACCGGCACTCTGACTGAAGGCCTTCCCACACTCCTTACAGTGGTACCGTTTCTGAATATTGTGGATTCCTCGGTGATTAAAAAGACCCGAACTCCGACTGAAGGTTTTCCCACACTCATTACATTCGTAGGGTCTTTCTCCAGTGTGAACTCTTTGATGTCGAACAAGACCTGAGCTCTGAGCAAAGCTCTTCCCACATTCTTCACATCTGTGTGGTCCGGCTCCTAAGGGGTTTCCCCAGTGCCTCTCTACCCCACCCTTGCAGTCACCAACTTCTCTGTGTCGCGGATCCTGCTGTGATATCTCCCAGGTCTGTCCGTAAGACATTTTCCCATGTGGTTCCACTCTCTTAGGACAGTCTTTCCTTAGCACCAACTCTCTCTTCTCAGTCTTGGCCATTCCATCTGAAACAAAAAAGGCCAGGTAAATGTCACTTGTTCCCTGAGCCTAGTGACAGGAGGGTCACTATGTGCACAGAAATGCAAGGTGCTTCTATTCTGATGTCACTCTATGTCATAGAGTAGGGAGGAGGTTAGAAGCAGAAGGGCCAGTGTGTTAACACCTTCTTCTAGGTAACGAGGGAGGTTTGCCCTCTTTGGAGAAATGCAGCTTGATCCACCCCAACATGGATGGGGCCTGGAGAGAATTTTTTTTATACTTCTTCACGGGAAGAGAAGGGTCAGGATCAGAGTGGCTTCTTTAGAGTCTTCCCTGAGAACTCCTTCCCCTCTGTGAGGCAGGGAGCCTCCAAGTGACCCTTTCCAAGGAAACTGACCTTATGTATACATTCATTCAGTTAGCCATTTATGGAACAAGCGCTGAGCTTCTCCTAGTCTAGGTGCTTCAGGCAGTACTTTATGTTTCTAATCCATAACCATCCCAGGTGCATCCCCAGCACAAAGCCTTTGCTCTAGCGCCTCTCTCTTTCTGGAAAGCTCGGACCTCAGATAACAGCAACCCTCACTCTCTCACTTCCTTCAAGTTTTTGCTCAATTCTCACCCTAATTCTTCTATTTAAAACTACAATCTGTGTGCCCTATCCATAGCAGTCATAACCCCCTTAGGCAGTTCTACTTGTGCTTCATTCCATAACACCACCTCCTAACATATCATCTCCTTATTTGTATGCTTATTGTCTCCCCCTTGCTACAGTCTCATCTCCACGGAAACAGGATCTTTCTGGTTTATTCCCTGAGAAGCAAGCTTGGCACATAGTGGCTGATCAATAAATACTTGCTGAATGAATAAAAGAGAAAGGACTGAAATCAGCGCTACTACTATGGCCTCAATTGACTGGCCCAGGGACCAGCACTGAGGCAAAGCCTGCCTGTAGGACTGGTTCATGTGGGACAGTGTCCAACCAACCCAATTAGACCCTCTCTGCTTGGAGGAGTTGAAGGTGAGAATGGAGACAAACAGACCCAAACTGTCTAAACGCTAGAGAGCAGCTGCTGTGGAATTCTTAGGGTTCCCCAGGTGTGATTCCCACCTTGCAACCCAGAAAAGCCCAAGGAAAATTGCCCCCAACCCCCTCCTTTAACCAACATCTGGCTTTTTCTCCCACATCTAACTGCACTGTCCCTCACACACCTGGATAGGTACCTCTTAGGACTCCTGTGGGGTGAGACCATGGTTCTTCTCCTCCTTTTAGCTGGGAGATGACAACAGGTTTGCAAAACAGAAATGTGCCTGCAGAGAAGAAATGGGCCACAAGTGAGATCAGTACTGCTGCCCAAACTTCACATTTATATCTGAAATGCACAAAGGAACTGGGTAGAATATAAAAACGAAGACATTTCTCACCTTTTAATAATTATCATTTATACAGCCTTCCATGACTTACAAAGCACTTTCACATACATTATCAAACTAATTCACCACAAACCCCCTGATGCTATTATCCCACTTCTTTAAAGAACTAGGAAAAAAAAAAAAGAACTAGGAAAAAAATAAAAAGGCAGACAGACATATAGCTAGACAGACTCTATATTTAGAAAAAAGTCTGGAAAATATACAGCAATTTGACAAGAGTGGTTACTCCTGGGGAGTTGGACTTAGAGGAGAACTTTTACTTTTTACTATGTAAACTTATTCATTATTTGTATTTTTTTTACTCTCACTAAGAATTCTAAACGAAATTCAAACTCGGGGATATAAAGTAACTTTAAGTGTTGCTTGGCTAAAAAACCAAACAGCTGGAACTTCGGTTTGGTCCTTTTAATCCCAAACACTATGTTGCTTTACAAAATAAGCTTGTCCTAAATGTATAACACAGACCTGCATTGATAGTCCTATAGGGAGAATTCTCTGATCTGTAGATGCCCTCTGGATACTCCCCCGTAGCCACTGTAGATGCTTAATAAATATTTGTTGAATGAATGAATGACTAGATGGATGGATGGGGGAATAGACTTACTCAGATGTACCCTGGAAGAAGGGTTCTAGGTGCAGTTTGGAAAGTAGAAGAAAGGAGAAAATAAATGGAAAATGAAAAATCCAAGTTCATGGGGAGAGGAGGAAGAAAGTAGCAAAGGAACTGACTGGAAAGATGCTCATAAAGGGGGAAAATGAAACCAGAAAGAATTTTAATAAGATGAAGTCATGGGAGTCAGAGGAAGGTCTGCAGTGTGCACAGAATTTACTCATCAAATATAATTTTAATTTAAATCAACAGATGTGTTCCAAAATCCATGATAACTGTATGGTTGGTAGGATAAATGAAATGAATAGAAGCAGGAGGCAGAGCAGCAAGAAAAGCTGTGACTTGGATACATATGGAGGTAATCTGAAAATGAAAACAGGAAACCTCTGCTGTAGATGGGTTACCAGAAGGGTAACAAGAAGTCAGAAAGAGGCTGTGATGTTATGTGTGGGAAATTAGACAGAATTTGGAGCCAAATGCTGCAGGGAGAGCTAGAATGGGAAGGCAGCCGACTCAGCCCCAAGTGCCCACTACTATACCCACTGGTGCCCAGTACTGACACCACTAAGGAGATTGCATACAAGGAGATGGCAAAGTCTATTCCACTGGATTTTCTCATCCAGTTTGCCGCCTACTAAGCATATCTCATATCTGCTGACTGCAGATGTAAACCCAAATTGACAAGGGCGGCACTGGTAGTTTCTGATAAGAACAGTTGCTACATATTAAGCATAATGCGTGCCAAGTGTTTTTCACAAATGGTTTGTATTCAACGCTCACAACAACCTTCTGAGGTACATTTTTGTTATAGACTGAACTGTGTTATCCCCACTGCAAATTCATACGTTGAAGCCCTGTTTTTGTTTATTTATTTGTTTAATTTTGGCTGCGTTGGGTCTTCGTTGCTGCGTGCCGGCTTTCTCTAGTTGCGGCGAGCAGGGGCTACTCTTCGTTGCGGTGCGCGGGCTTCTCATTGCGGTGGCTTCTCTTGTTGCGGAGCACGGGCTCTAGGAGCGTGGGCTCAGTAGTTGTGGCTCACGGGCTCTAGAGTGCAGGCTCAGTAGTTGTGGCACACGGGCTTAGTTGCTCCACGGCATGTGGGATCTTCCCAGACCAGGGCTCGAACCTGTGTCTCCTGCACTGGCAGACGGATTCTTAACCACTGCACCACCAGGGAAGCCCTGAAGCCCTGTTTTTGGAGACAAGGTCTTTAGGGAGATAATTTAGGTAATTAAAGGTGGGGCCATAATCCAATAGGACTGATGTTCTTAGAAGAAGAGGAAGAACTACCAGAGCGCTCTCTGACTCTGTCTCTCTCCCCCTCTCTCCACAGGCACATGCAGAGAGGAATGCCCATGTGAGGACACAGCAAGAAGGCCGCTCTCTACAATCCAGGAAGACAGGTCTCACCAGAAACCAACTCTGATCTTCAATTTCTAGCCTCCAGAACGATGAGAAAAAAAACTTCTGTTGTTTAAGCCACCCAGTCTGTGATATTCTGTTACAGCAGCCTGAGCAGACTAAGACAATACTATTATTAACCCCATTTTGCAGAGGAAAAAACCTTGATCAATCAGTTAAGTAACCTGCCCAGGTACAAGCAGCTTCCAAGAGGCAAAGCCATGATATGAACCTGTCTGTCAAACCTTGAAGCCCATTCTCTAAAGTTGTGCTCCACAGTGATTCCTAAAAGTCTTCCTAATGTACCATGTGCCAGCAGACAAGAGAGCTTCCGGGATGGTACCCAGGGGAAGACTGCATGCAGAGGATCGGGACAAAGACAAGCACACTAGGCACTCGGAAGCACTGAACATTGCTGGTAAAGCGTCTTCTGACCCCCTGGTTTCCCAGCTCTGGTTTTTTGTTGGTTTGTACTTGACCAGGTGGGATATATTCAACACCAGATAAATCCTGTCCCTCACCTGTCTTTCCGATACGGTGGGGCTCCTGAGCAGGGTCACATGTGAGCTGGGGCTCCTTAGGCTGGGACTGAAGGCCCAGTGACATCTGCTCTCCTAGAGACACTGTCTCTTTAGAGAGGACTTCTCGTCGGTGTCTGTAGGCTACCATCTAGAAATAAAGAGACAAGATGTGGCTTCTGAAGAAATTAATTGTCTAAAGAAACATTTCCCAGAGAGAAGCAGAAAGCTGAGTCTTATTTAATCAGCAAAGTCAAGAGGATACAAAGCAGAGGACACAAAGGTCCTTGGTGACCTACATATACTCTTTCCCTGGCGAATCTCCCTTCCTACCTCATGTTGTGGTTCATCGAGCTCTCTCTCCAGATCCTCCAGCAGAATCACTGCCTCTTCCCCACTCTCTGGACAGTGTTCCTGCACCCAGCCCTGCACCTCCTTGGGCAGGATACACAGGAACTGCTCCAGCACCAGCAGGTCCAGAATCTGCTCCTTCGTGCTCACATGCGGCCTCAGCCACTGGCAGCAAAGATCCCGGAGTCGGGTGAGAGCCTCCCTTGGTCCAGGGGTCTCCTGGTAGCAGAGCTGTCGAAAGCGCCTTCGGAAGATCTCCCTTGCCAGTGGATTACTGCGTTTCAGTCCGGATTCCTGCATTTGGAGGTGACTTTCTGCCTCTGCCTTCACGGTCAGTTCTTCCCAAACACCACGAGCTTGAACATCCAGGGATATAACCTCCTTGGAGTCTGTATTCATTTTGGTCTTGAACAGCTTAAAAGGCACCCTCTAGCTGGAGCTATGTTTTAGAAACACCTTTGGAAGTTCCCTCCTAAGCAGTAAAAATCATTGTTTAGGTAGAAAAATGGCAATAGTTAATGATAAAAAACTGATAATATAAGCAACTGTCGTACACCTAAAGCTCTTCACTGAAAGTAAAGCGACTTGGTAACCAAAGATGAGAATAGTGGAAAATATAAGGTCATAATGTGCAAAAAGCATAGGTTTTCAAGTTACCCAGACCTAGGTTTTATTCCAGTTCTAACTTTTACTAATTGTTCGACCTTGTGCCAATTTATCTTGCTTCAATCTCAGTTTTTTAATGTGAAAAAGAAATAGCAATAATACCATACGAGTTCATGGAGGAATTAAGGGCCATACAGATCACTCAGAATGGTTAAAAAGTTCAGACTCACTGTATAAAAATCAAATTAGAGAAAGAATAAATGGAAATATTGCTCTTGCCTTTAAAAATAATTCTTTTAATTTAATTATTTGGCTGCGCCGGGTCTTATTTGCGGTACGGGGGATCATTTAGTTAGGGGGGTGGGATCTAGTTCCCTGACCAGGGATAGAACCCGGGCCGCTGGCATTGGGAGCACGGAGTCTTACCCACTGGACCACCAGGGAAGTCCCTGTTGTTCTTGTCTTTGACTAAATAAACTAACTTTTATTGAAATCTTTACTTGAGTTTTTTAAATTAATCTTCAAAACAACCATTAAGGCTGGTTTCATTTTTACTAAATTTACAGAAAGGAAAGCTTAGGTCGACTGCAAGTCTTGTGAGCTTTCCACACTGCTCTGCTGCTTCCTAAGAGTAAGAGCCAACACTGTACAACAGTCTACAACATGCTTTCAGATACAAGACCACATTTAACCCTCACAATTACCCTCTGAGGTTTGATTACAATCGCTATTTCACTAGATAAGAAATGGGAGCCAGGGGAAGTTAAGTAAGTTTCTTAAGGCCAAATTCTTTGTGCGGACAGTCCTAAGAGTCCACAGAAGCCCAAGAGAAAAGTGTGCTCATATCCAGGCAGTGCCTGAGACCCAGGAGGACTGAGTGTCTCCAAAATGTCAGGAGTGCAGACCAGAAGCTGAATTCCAGCTTGACAGGCCCTGTGGCAGACAGCTAGGGAATCGGAATCCGGGGCTTAGGGGTGGGAGGGGAAGAGCAGGGAGCCCTTATTATGTACCTTTAATTTCTAGGCTCCCCAAGGATTTGTACGCACTCCAAGGTTTGAGAATCAATGAACTAAGGGAAAGGGAATCGGAAAATGTCACATTCTGCACTTGACAAGCAGTCCATTCAACGCCCCTTCATCTGCTTTTAGAACCAAAGAGTGAGAGTGTATAGACACTGGCTCCCCACGAGGAAGGCTGCAAAAAGTCTTTACAAATTTGTCCTTAACTTCCTTGTCCCCGAGGATATTTCCCCAGACTCCAGGCGTTTCCTGCCCTGAGTCCTAATCCTGCTGCCGTTATTCACCGCAGTGACCCGCCCCGAGACCTCTCCCGCGTAACATCCCCCCAGCCCGGGTGACGGATCGGCTCCAGGATCGCGGGGCACGACCACTGCCCCCTCCCCAACTCCGCCCTCCCCGGGGCCGAGGCTCACTTTCCACACCCCTTTCTCAGCCACACCCACCCAACCCCGGTTCCCGGGCCGACTCACCGGACCTGGAAAAGGTGAGGTGGTTGGGAGCTCCCGCCCCGACGCTGGGAGGAGCGCGCCGGGAACAATGGCCCTGCGGGAAAGACACCAGCCCGCCGCGGGGCCCACCGCGCACGGGCACTTCCGGCCGGTCTAGGATTCAGTGTCTCGTTTCCTACCTCCTACGCGTGCCTCACCTGGAACCAGCCGCCAATTTCCTGGGCGTCCGGTTCGATTTCAACTGTGAATCACATAATCAGAATTCGTTACGTGTGTGGGCCCCAGATAGGTTTTAAACTGAAAATACAGATGAAGCACAAACCGTTAATTATTGAAAATGCTTATTTTTAACACATTTAAAAAATTAATACATTACCTATGACTTTTTAAAAGGCTCAGACAATGCCAAAATTAATAAAGTAAAAGGTGAAATCCCATCCTGTCCCTCCTAAGCCTCAGCTCCCTGAGATAACCGCTGTCACCGTTAGCTTGGAATTTGCAGGTATAATTCTCATCTCTGTCTCTCTCTCACACACGTTAGATAGATAGATGGATAGACAGGCATTGAGCTATTTTACATTTAGCTTTTCCCCCATCACTTATTTTAACGTTTTCACGTCATGTATCCCAGACATCTTTATCAGTCAGGCATTTAGTGGCTGTATAATAATAGTACATCAAGTACATGCCTGGCAATTTATTTGACCAGGCCCCTACATATTGATAGAGGTCTTCCTTCCTTCCTACTTTTCTTCCCTCCTTCCTTCCTTTTTTTTGTTTTTTTGTTTGTTTTGGTTTTATATGTTTGTTTGTTTGCTACAAAGTTGTCTGGATTCTTAGTAGTAATATAAAATCAGTCCAAAACCTATTAAATTACCTTTATTAGTACCAAAGAGCATAATTATAAGTACTGTTTGTCATTCATTAATTTTGTTATGCCAAACAGAATGGTGGTAATTCATAGATTAAACTATGTTTTGCTTTGTTTTAATGGAACCTCGTTGTTTATTTATTTTATCACAGTAATAAAAAAGCATCTTTTATGTTAATGGAGTTTCCATGATGCTTTTGTTGTTTTTTTTTTTTTTTTTTTGCGGTACGCGGGCCTCTCACTGTTGTGGCCTCTCCCGTTGCGGAGCACAGGCTCCGGATGCGCAGGCTCAGCGGCCACTGCTCGGGACACGAGCCCGTGTCCCCTGCATCGGCAGGCAGACCCTCAACCACTGCGCCACCAGGGAAGCCCTCATGATGCATTTTAACTCCAAAACTGTAGCTGTGTAAATTTCTTTAGTTGTTTGACGCAACCTAGCCATCTGAGGTCATTAAATAAGCTCAAGCTTCATCCTTTACTTCAGCTTCTTCCAAATATCCAATAACTGTGTATTAAGAGCACCAGCATGAAGAAAACTTGTCCCCAGTCCTGATCACTTTCTCCAGCATACCTCACTTGCAAAGCCCTCAGTACAACTTTCCTAAAAACTATAAAATGGGAGTAAATGCTCAACTTCTCTTGGGCTTTAAATGTGTTATTCTTTTCCATTTTTGATGCCTATCTGTGACAAGTAAACACAGTTTTCATGCTCTCAAATATCTCACTAACAGTTAATTAGGCTCCTTAACTGGCTTATGTGTGCTTGTTAAGTAGGTCAACTATAGGACTCAGGCCGGTTAGACTCTAGGGTCAAGTGGACAGCACATTGGAGTTCCTTGTGGTCCAGAGAAAGACTGGCTCCCACTTGTCTGTTTGGAGGAAGATTCCCCTATAGCAGTACCTTGATGAGTGTCTTGGTACAGAAGGGATTATTTTTAACTTAGAATTGGGACTTTCTACTCAAAATATTTAAAATGCCATTAGCTCAGAGACAAGAATAAATGCTGACTACATGGCTTACTAAAAAGATTGAGGGTCACCTGAATCTGGAAACAGGCATATTGGGATACTGACTCTTCTGTGTGTTATGTCGTAAGTTCAAGAAAAGAAGAAGGAGGAGGGGAAGGAGGAGGAAATGTTTTGGAGGATTGGTAACACAGAGATTGAGGGAACTAGCTGGTATGTTGTGAGATTCAAGTGTAAAACTATTTGTGTCCCATACAAATCTTCACTAACCCACCATGTAAGAGGTTTCAGTAAGCAAGTGGGTACGCTGATCTGCCCTATGGATGTCAGCAACTGTTTTTTCAGCTCAGTGTTTGATCAAGGAACTTTTGAACATGGTGACCATGACTACCATGATAAAGGATGTGCATACTCTCAAAAAAAGAAAAAAAGGCTTTCTTTCACTAAAGCTAATCAAGACAGCACCACTGTTGAACCACAACAAATCCGAAACCCTAGATATGGTGTAATATCCCAGTGGGAACAGCCAGTCACCTAATGGCAAGTTGATTACATTGGACTCTCTATGACAGAGAGAACAAAATCTTACTTCAAAGCAATAGACACTTGTGTTGGATTTGGGTTGGCTTTCTGTGCCTACCATGCTTCTGTCAGTACTGACTTGATGAAAGCTCTACGCACACCAGCCCCAAATTAGTTGGACATTAAAGTGAAATGATTTTTCTCTCAATCTCTATTATTAATTGGGTACTTGTGAATCCTTTCCTGTCCTTTAATGATGGCTTGACAGATCCCAAGCTTTCTGGTCATTTTTATGTATTAAAGGTCTCATCCAATTTGTTTCTAATTTAAAATTGTATTATCTATTGAATAAGTTATAGAGCCACAGATTCAAAATACAAAAAGTACAAAAGGGAATACATTGAAACATCTCCGTTTGCCTTTTCTCTTCTGTTGAGCTTGACAATGGTATTGCAGTTCTGTAGGAAAATATCCTTATTTTTTAAGATTTTTTTTCTTTGCTGCACTGTGTGGCATGTGGGGTCTTATTTCCCCAACCAGGGATTCAACCTGTGCCCCCTGCATTGAGAGCACAGAGTCTTAACCATTGGACCACCAGGGAAGTCCCAGAAAATATCCTTATTTTTTAGAGATGGGAACTGAAGTGTTCAAGGGTGGTATATCATGATGTCTATAATTTGCTATCAAATACTTCAGCCAGAGAGTATGTGAGAGAGAGTGCAAATATGGCAAAATGAATACTTATAAATGTAGGTGAGTATATGGTGTTCGTTACACATAAACCTTTGGGAGTAACTGTGTTTCAGAATTCAGAGTTTTTAAGACTATTAAAAAAAAAAATCCGAGTTCAGTTCACTTCGAGATTTGCCTCAGATGAGTTTTAGTGCCAAATTCATGGGGGGGAAAAGTTTTCAGAATTTTATAGATTTTGGAACTGTGAATAAGGGATCCTGGATATGTACTAGTCTCCCTCTCTCCCTCTCCTCCCCCCTCCCCGTCTATTTAAACATTTTCAAATTTAAGAACTATTTAATAAAAATTTCCATCCTACTCCTACCCCCCGTCATCTAATTTCATCCCCTAAAAACAGCCAAAACCTTTGATTTCTTCTGTAGGTTTTCAGAAATATTTTATACATATAGAGGCAAATATTTATTTATAATTTATCTCCATTATTTTACACAAATAGTAGAATATTATGCATACAGCTCTCCATTTTGCTTATTTAATTTAACAATATATCTTGGAGTTTTTCCCATAGCCATAGACATAGATTTACCTCTTTATTTTTGACAGTTGTATAATATTTCATTATGTAGATTTTTTTTTTTTTACGCAGTCCTCTATGGATGAACAATTACGTCATTTCCAATTATTTTCTATTTATAAACCGTACTAAATTAAATAGTTTCATACATACATCATCTTACCCATGTATGAGTATATCTCTAGGGTAAATTCCTAGACGTAGAATTTCTGAGTCAAAGAATATATGCACTTGTGTATATAGACTACTAAATTGCCCTCAAAAGTATTAATAGTTATGAAAATTTGCAGCTCTCTAATAATATCTGAAAGTGATACCACCCCCAATCTTCATCAAACTTTTTGATCTTTGCCAAAAGAAGAAAAATGGTATATTATTGTAGTATTAATTAGCATTTCTTTAAATATGAACAAAATTGAATAAATTAATATTCATGTACATTTTCTTTCTGTGAAGTTTGTGTTCATACCCTTTCCCTTTTTCCTTTTGTGACGGTCTTTACACTGATTTGCATGATCATTTTATATTAGGGAAATAAGCCCGTTGTGGTAATTTGGAATTTTTCCACTCTAGTTTATGTTCATTTTAGTTACACAGAAATTTAAAATTTTTAAGTAAATTTACTAATCCTTTATGTTTCCTGTGATTTCAAGAAAGGCCTCCCTTGTGCCAAGACTATAAAGGAAAATTTTCATGTTGTTTCTTCTAGGAATTTTATGGTTTTATTTTTTTCCTTTTAAAATTTTTGAACCACGTAGAAACGATTCAGTTGTAAACTGTGAGGTGTGGATTACACTTAATTTTTTTTAGAAGTCTACCCAGATGTCCCAGTACCATTTACTGAATGATCTATCTTTTCTCCACCGACTTGAAATGCCATTTTTATCAAATTCTTAAATATTTGTGCCTACTCTTGGATTTTTCTATCCTGTTCATACTACAATGTTTTATTCATTATAGCTTGTAATATGTTTTAAAACCCAAAAGGCCTGTGTCTTCTTTGTTATTCTTTTCTGAATTTTCCTGACTACCAATGCTTGTTTACTTTTCACATAAACTTTAGAAGCTGTTTATCCAATCTGAAAATGAAATTCTATGTTAATTTTTATTGGTATTATATTAAACACCTAGACTAACATGTAGAGAAAATTGATATGCCTTCCTCTCCATATCTTGATTCAGTCAACAATATTTAAAGTTTTCTTACTATTGATCTTGTAATTTGCTCTTAAATTTATTTCTCAACAAAACGAAAAGACAACCTACTGAATGAGAGAAAGCATTTGCAAATGATATGACTGATAATGGGTTAATACCCAAAGTACATAAACAGCTCATACAACTCAATATCAACAAACAAACAAACAAACAACCTGATTAAAAAATGAGCAGAAGACCAGAAGACATTTTTCCAAAGAAGACATACAGATAGCCAACAGGCACATGAAAATATGCT